ACATAACACCAGAAGAAGTAGGACGTCCCTCCCACGCCAGAAACGAGTGAAGTGAAGGAAATGACAGCCAATGGGGCTGCTGAACAGGAGAATTGTACTCCGATGACGCTCCAGGCATTGAAGCGAGACTGATCAAGTTCCACATGCTCAAAACGGCCAGCATTGCCACTGGCGACACGTGGTGGCCCGATCTCTAAACCAGTATCGTTGGCAGCCAAAGCATGCTTGTTGTCGATGGAATTTACGTGACCGATGGCACTTTCATTGTCCCTATTAGGGCTTTGCTTGTCCATGTTGGACTTGTCAACGTCCAGAGAGGTGAGAACGGTCGGCAAAATGCTGGAAGATGATGGTTCTCGCAAATAGTGCGAAGTCCATACTTGTAGCTATCGGAGGCACGGTACAGTACGGGTAAGAACTCTATCATCCGGTTGGGAAGTATGCTAAGGTTCTATCCCCTACGACGACTACGGGGCGCCTAGATAAGCTTTTTCCGAAGGCCCGACAGGTTGGGCCCTGGGATGCTTGCGGGTCCCGACTTATCGCGTTCGTGGCCCCATCCACCGGTGGGTGTAACCCATTTCAAGTTGGGGTATCTCGGAAATCTGAGCGCTGGATTGATAACTGCTTCTGGACAACCTCCTAGGCTTGCATTCGGCCCTTGCAGTGTACTGCTTGAGTGGTCGATGAGCCAACGTGGGAATTGTCTAACGGATCCTGGTGGGCTCTCAAGAACTCGTTGCCACTTATCCAGGTCAGACTGCCGCCCAAGCCGTATAGCTAATTGCTCCTCCAGATCATGAACTGTCGTATCATTTGTTTTGACAATCACTCCACGAAAGTTGCTGATAAAATTCTCTTGCCACGTCCAGAACCAGCGGAATATGATGTTCGTTGTGCATGACATGAACGCGAATAAATTAGAGGTCCTGAATGCATCCTTTTTGACAACAAGGAAATTATCAATACCAGGTGGCCCGCAGCGTATTCTCGAATCCTGAGCTATTGCAATTGTTGCACCTCACGAATTGAATGCCTTGTCAAATCTATGTCAGAATCTCTCCGAGTGCGTCGCCCCTGGCAATATTTTCTTCCGACAGGAGCTTTGGTCGACGTGAGGCCAGCGGCTATGGTGAACAATTATTGCTGTCTGTTCCGGAATTATGCAAGCTGCCTTCCCGTGGGCAGGTTAGTCTGGCCATAATAACTTTGCGACTGCCAAGAGCACCAAAGTCGAATGCACCGCCAAAAGATTTGACCAGGGTGGTCACATCTAAAATGACATTGCGAAAGCCTTGCATACCGTTTGCCGGATACGAGAATGACCCAAAGCGCGGTTGCTTGTTCTCTCAAGAACTAGAGAATCTCGTTTGTTTTTGAAATCAATCCATCTGCCCATTGCACGGCTCGACGAGAATGACTCACATCGGTATTAACATCCAGAACCTTCTTGGAATTAATTCGTTGTCCTTGGTGAAAGACAGATAGGCGCCAGTATACCCCAAATCAAAGACGATTCCCTACAAGATCTAGCAGAAAGCATCTAGCCACCCTCGAATGACATACCTTTTCCTTTCCGTGTAAGTCAGTCTCACGGAAATGAACGTCGTGTTCGTCTCAGTTCCCGAGATTGTGAAGTGAAGTACATGCGTACTAGCAAATCGATCGCCACTATCACCCAGGCCGAATGGGTTTGATGCACCCAAGCTGAATCACGAATCCAATACTGCAGATATTGCTCTCTTGATTTCTGGTTGAGAGTGAGCGAGCTCACGCCTGAGTAATCTACATATTCATGGCCATCTAGTGAGGTGAGATAACGGTCTATGCCAATGCTCATAATCACAGGAAAATGCTGGGTGGTGAATACAACGTGCGTGATGCCAGCAGGCATGACTCTAGAGGCTCTCTCATTGTGTGCTCGAGACTTGGTGTTGTGGGACGGAAATCGTTCAAGATATTCGTCCAGTACCTTCTGGGTCGGCACTGATCCGGCAATTTTCTCGATCACTTTGAGCGGTATATGTGGCTTACTTTTGGACTGGAACGTTTGTCACATTCCAGCAGGAGAAGAACATGGGCTTATCCCATCGCCATGCGGCCACTCTGCTATTGGCACGACCGCCTCTACCATCACTGAAAGACATTTCTCTTCGGTGATGAATTGTTCATGAAGGGAACTAAACAATTATTTTGATCAAGCTCTCAAGACTTGAGGCTTCAATCGGCAATGAGATAGAAGGCTCTGGATCCAATAAGGAGGAGGCAGGGCTATAGTTACAAACTTCAATGTGCAGCGGACCACTCCTTTACAGACACCACACAGGGATTCGATACATCTGGAACAGTCCGTTGTCTCATCAAGTAACGTTTAACTTCCGGTGTACTCGAGCCAACGCTCACTACTCAAAACAAAGATCGCAGTACTAAACCCCCCAAGGGTCGAGTACGTTGCGGCATTGATACTCGAGTATGACCACAAATTACGAACATGCTCACACGGAGATACAGCGACCAGCTTCACATCTAGATCTGAGGTCGACTGGGGCTCAACCGAAACATTGACTCAACACAGCTCGATAATGGTAAAGCATGACCTCACCTACTTTACAACTCCTGGTGAAGAATCCGGGGAGACAAATCCCACGAGCCCTTGTCTAATTTGAAGGCTCCAGGCTGCAGCTTCTGGAAGACGCCCTTGGGATCGTACTTGGCAGCGACCTTCTTCAAGAACGCTTTGTTCTTATCACCAAATCCTTGTATGACGTCCTGCTCATGATTCGCGTAGTTCATGTACTTGAACGAGCGATATTTCCCGTGGCGGCGTGCCAGTACCTCGACCAAATTGCCGATATCACGGATCAGATCTTGCACCTCTTCGTCCTGCTCCTCATCCTTCCAAGTCATGGTCAACAACACGTTGATCAGCGGCTCATCGGGGCCCTCAAGGCCGTAGACGTTGGCGCAGCTCATGTGAGGGGCCTGATTTCTTTGGCGAGGGGCGATATGGTTGTAGTCCAAAGCGGCGTGGAATTTCTCGCCCACGACCTCCGTCTTCTCGATCCACATCCGATAGATGTCTTTGAGCAGCTCGGGTTCGTACTCCATCGAGTTCGTCCAGTAAGCGTTCCGCATTCCGGTCGCGTCAGTGGCTTTGGCTTGCTCGATAGCGAGGTCCGAATTATTGCAGAGACGGAGTGTGTTGCCAGTGCTGGGCACACGACGGAAGGCGTGGTAGATTGGAGGGTCAGCCTTAAGCTCGGGGTATGCGGGAAACTCGACGGCCACTACCTTGCCCTCCCTACGGAAAAAGTCCAAGATGACATGGGCTTTGCCGTCCTTTGCCAGCGCCTTGGTGTACCGGTCGTATGCCTGAAGGACTTCCTCGATGTGCTTTGCTTCATGCAATATAGCGCCGCCCCACATTCCTTCCAGCGGATGTACTGCCAATGTCAAGCTGGTCACAATGCCAAAGTTGTGGGCGCCCCCTCCGTGGAGCGCCCTGAGTAGATCGGGATGGGATGTGCCATTGGCTGCGATCAGATCCCCGTTGGCTAGGACAATGTCCACAGCCATCAAATTATCAGCACCCCAGCCGTAAGCTGAGCCTAGATTTGAGAGACCCCCTGCGGCAAGGAGAAATGTAAGCATTTTTAGGGTTGCGGAGTGCTTGCGAACAAGAGCGAGGTTCTGCTCACCTCCAAAAATGAATCCAGGGACACCAACCCCAAAGTCTCTCCCTCCCACGGCCATCAGGCCATGCTTCTCCAAGAGAAGGTACAGTGGTCCCCAATGCACGCCGGGCCCGACTGTGACGGATTTCTGGTTCTCTGCGAGCTCGACGTGGTCCCATCTCTGCAGGTCAACCACGAGTCCGCCGTCAATGCTGGAGCCGCCCCAATTTGAGGAGTGGCCCCCTCCTTTGATCGCGAAGGAACACTCTGCTTCCTGGATCTCCAGGATCACAGTCTTGATCTGCTCCGCGTTGGTCGGCTTGAAGAAGCATGCCGGTACTCTCTGGCGCTGTAGCACGTTCCAGTAATCTTGCTGAGATTGTAGGAAGGCGGTAGACGTGGGTTCATCGATTGTATCCGGGTAGAGAGCAGCCATGGCTCTGCACTGCTCGATTTGTTAGTCGTGTCTGATGGACTCCAAAAGGTTTGGCGGACAAACCGCCGCAGCACAGCCCTGCGTCCTGCTGGGCACTTGTCCGAATGCGTTCGTCGTTGTAGCGAATGCCGCGAGCAGCAACCCCTTCATATCGACAGCTCTTTGAATGCGATGGGCTACACAGAGTGTCCCCTTGTCACACGCGTGTGAGTTTGGGTACAGAGAAAGCTCACCTGCGACTCGAGCCGTTCAAGACAATCGAGTCTCGCAAAGGCAATGGCCAACTCAACAGGTTAGGACATGCTTCTTCTGACGGGCCCTGAGAAAAGCTATCATATCTTGGTGCCAGGTGGACATGGAGGAATGTTGGAATTCACATAGATTCAAATGACCCTCCCACAGCCCGTATAGATCCGCGCAAGGGTGAGTGCTCGTGCAGATTTTGGGATGTAGCTCCACGCGAGATGTCGAAGCACCCTTGCTCCAGTCTTCGGACAATGATCACCGTTCGTGGAATGGCGCCGCTGAACTACTGGCGCCCACCTCCATTCAAGCCCTTGTTACCTTGTACTATCTAAGCGCTTCATCACGCCACTCCTGGGATTGGAGGCGCCCCGCAGCGTCTTCGCCGTATCCATCGAGAAAATTCGGTTCTCGCATACTATTTGACTTCTGGACGCCATGTTGGTGGCCAAACGGCCTTAAGCTTGACGAAATGGAATGCGCGGTTGCCCTAGTGGCGTTCAGTGAAAGTTGCGTCGAAGAAACTATCAGAGGCTATCGACTTGTCTGTCACGAAGAGCTCTTTCCGAGTTCCCTGAATAGCTGACCTTGGCCGACGATTCAACAATAATCATGAAACACCACTCACAAACCCATGGTGAAAGTCGATATTCGGCAACCTTCTCTTGTAATCTTGGCGTGCTGCGACCTTACGACGTCGCCGAGAGCACTGTACGACTTGCGTCGTGGTCTCTACAAGTCTAGCCAAGGGAGGCTGCACGATGGCCATGTAAGGATCAAGCACTCATTAGAGACAGGCGGGCCAGGCGGCGATGTCAGAGCTCATTCACGTCGCCTTTTCATCTATATTTTAAGCTCCCCAATGGTGAGACAGTCTTCCAGCGCCGACTTCAAGATCTCAATGCCCTTTAATAGATCGTTCTCTTCAATGACCAATGGAGGGTTGATCCTAATTCTGTTTTCGGCATTGACAACAATCAGCCGTCGTTGCCGCGCCAGCGTACCAACACGTTCCGCAGTGACTCTTGCGGGCGATTCGGTAGGATCAATATGGAGGGTGCAGAAGAGACCCCGGCCGGTCGCACGGATGGAAGCTGCAGGTGACTGCAGCGCCGAAAGTCTCTCGAGAAGCACTTTGCCCAGACGTCGAGAACGCTCAGGCAACTTCTCCTCGAGGATCACGTCCACTGCTGTCATTGCAATCGCCGAGCCCATCGGATTCGCAGCGAAGGTGGAACTGTGCCTAAGCGTAGCGTGAGTAAAGGGCATGCTGGAGGTGTAGGGGAGGACTTACTCTCCTGGGTGAATTTGCGTCATGGCAGTGTCCTTTCCGAGAACCAAGCTCATGGGATACATTCCGCCCGTGAGGGCTTTGCCAACAACAAGCAGGTCTGGTTGAATTCCAGCGGCTTTGTATGCCATCAAGTAGCCAGTCCTCCCGAAGCCAGTCTGGATCTCATCGGCGACGTAGAGCACGTTGTGCTTGGTGCACAGCTCACGCACGGCCTCAAGGTATCCCACTTCAGCGGGGATACATCCAGCGTAGCCCTGGATGGATTCGATGATCAGGGCGCAAATGTCGCTGCCGTGCTCTTCAAACGCCTTTTGGATGTCTTCTGCGTGGTTGTACCGGATCGGAAAGCCACACACATCGGATCCGACACCAGGCACGAAAGGTCCGAAATCTGCGACCTTGTCAACAGCCAAATCTCATCTCTCTCTGAAGGTGATGTGCTGGTCCTTCTGGGGTATCTTCGTACCATTCCTGAAAGATTTGAACGACGAAGCTGATAATGGAGCAAGGGTTTTGCCGTGATAGTTGTTGGAAATCGTCAAGATTTTGGCTTGGTTGGGCGCGATGCCCTTAACGCGGTAGCCCCAGCGTCTCGCAATCTTCATCGCCAATTCAACGGCCTCGGAGCCTGAGCTCATCGCCGCTGCTCGATCAAAGCCCAGGAGCTTCAGAATCTCATATCAGACAGATCCTCTGTATTTGGGTCCTGTGCTTTCGGCACAGGGACCGGGACCGGGACAGGGCCGGAGAACCAGCAGGTACTCACATCACACATTTTCTTGGCCAGCCGCGGATACCATTCATTCTGAAATGCGCTGGTACAAATGGCAAGTTTCTCCGACTGTTCACGCATCGCGGCGATGATGCGGGGGTGGCAGTGACCCTGGTTGACCACAGAGAACGCAGCAAGGAAGTCAATATACTCTTCGCCGTGGAGGTCTTTCACTCGAGCGCCGCGACCCTCGGTCAAGACGATGGGAATGGGAGCATGTGTGTATGCCACATACTGCTTGTTCAGGTCTACGTAGTCTTGTGTAGACATAGAATTGGAAGTACTGATTTTCTTCTGGGCCTGCTCAGCATGGCCATTTGTCAGGGTCACGGCGGAGGACATTCTGGACAAACGGCGGTGGGTATTGTGGTCTTCAGATGTTGAGACAGTAGAATCAAGATGGTCAAGATGAACCTCTGTGCAAGTCGCTTCGAAATCTCACGGTTGACACTAAGGCCAGCAATCATATTATGTATCACCCTGGCGCTGCGCCTTGCGAGCAATGGCATCCTCGTATGGGCTGCCGTTAACCCAATTTGTTGCCGATCTAAGTCGAAGATGGGACTTGTCGTAAGGCGTGTGAAAGGGGCGGGCCAGATTGATGCCCGAGAGCTACTGCATTGATCACATTAAGTTTTACCTCGGCCAGAAGTCGCAATACCAAGTGCGCGACAGGGGTTTATTGCTCAAGCGCTTAGATAGGACCGACCTTGACCCAGGTCTGAGTGGGCAATAAATACCCGCCATGTTGAATGCGCTTAGATTTTCAATGCATTTTAGTGTGGAGGACAACTCCTCAGGCACGTCGTGTACCAAATTCGGCCGCTGGTCCGGCCTAGACCGGTAGCAACCGGTAGCACGTGCGAAGAGACCTTCAGTACTTGCTCAAGTGTCATTGCACAGTACGACGGGGCACCTCCAACTGCGTGTGCGTAACCCAACTCGATGGTGCATCTATATGACTGAACTTGCGTATAGGCTTCTCATTTGCGACTGAATACTGATCACCGTGCCGTGATCCATGGAGATTGGTCGTGAAGGGCTGGTTAGAGGACCGAAATAGCAGGAAATGGCCAGTGAAGGGATCCGTGGAGGATAGCGAGGGATAATTGTATGCAGAGGCAGGGAAGCTCGGGATTGAGGCCAAATCAAGTAAGATATGACCAAACATTGCGACAGACGATGAGAGACGCACAAAGATACCCAAAAAAGGCCCCCACCCGCGTGTGGGCTGGGCCTTTCTTCCTTGGGCCAGGCCGACCCTACTACCCGGTTGCCAATCAATATTTCAAACATATTGCAACCAACAACCTGTGGCCAGCTTGGCATTCCCAGCCATCGTGTCCATTGCGATCTCAATTCCAAGACGTGTCGTCAACATCTTCCGTGCAACCCGTCGCCTCCCTCTGCCTAAAAGTTTGTCCCGGCTTCCATCCTGTAACTACCGCGGTGTTACAAGCACACCAGTGATTCTTTCTCTCAGAAACGAGCCCAGAAGGCTATTCGCATTTTCAATAACTCAGACCTTGATTCGAATATCGCGCATCAACAAGCTTACTGCATCTCGAGGTCGTCAGCAGAATGTTCCCTTCCCGCAACATCTCGAGTAAACGAGTGCTGGAGTAATCGAGGACCAAGAGTGCACAGCTCTGCTTGAACTCAGGACTCTTCATAATACCGCTGGTCGCTTAACTGACCACATGAGCAGTGCAAGGAGACGCTGTTTGGGAGGTTAATTGCATCTCGAACAGCATCATTACTGTTTAAGTGACACCGCAACATCAAAGCGATAGATGGCTCAGCCACTACGCATTGGTTCGGTGAGAGCTATAATGTTAAGCTCACTGCTCTCCCACAGCTGGGCTACAATGAAGATGGAAAGAAAGTGGATGACCACTTCTCTCGGTGACAGATAAAAATGGCGGTGGGAAAATGGGATGCTTGCATGCTTGCAGCACACCCAGTCAGACACTGTGCGAGATGCAGAAAGCAGAGGGATCAGGCGATACAGACGCCGGTACCTCGAGCCTTGGCCAATCTCTCGAGTCCCGAAATCCCCACCACCTTCACATCTGGGTCGTCCCAGACCCAATGGAGCATCTCTTTTCCCCTGGCCACACACGGCACGGTGGAACCAGAGAAACAGCTTTCAATGGTCTCGCGATGCTCTGGAGTTTGAGCAAACGTCCCCACGACCACGCTGGGCCAAAAGGTAACCATGCACATGTCGGTTTTGGAAATTTCTCGGATCAGTGACACACTCTCGTTCATCAAATCCGCGTCTCTCGTCAGCAAGGAGTTTGCCGTCATAATGTCACCGTGGAAAGCGGCCATGAGCCAGATGAGCAGCACATTTCGGAGGAGCATTGCGGCTGCTATTCGCGAGTCAATTTCGTGGATTTCGCTCAGTTCCGCCGCAGTTTCTTGGGTCGACCAGCCCAGCAGCTGTGCCCACATGTCGATATACCGCTCAACACATCTCAGGTTGCGACCTTGATTCATCTCGCTCTGTCGATCTCGAATCAGGAGTGAAATCATGGGAATAAGTTCATAGAGATGGGAGCCATATCCGAGCAGCGCACCAAATGCGCTCGAGTAATTTAGACTATCCAAACGCCTTATGAAGGATGGCAAAATTGTCTGCAAGTCTGCTTCGCGGTCCATCAGCCGCACTGAAGCCATCAGCTCAAAGTATGCGTAGTTCTCGAGCAAAAATCCAATCAGAGTCTGGTTGGAGTGTTGTGTTGCCTGTCGGGCACCAACACAGAAGGCAAACTGGCGTGAGGCGCGTAGATGCTGGGAGATAACATCATCACGGTTCCCGGAGAAGGACTGTTCATCAGGTGAGCGTTGTGTGTCTCGGGATCTTGCGGAGGGAGTGTTCGCAGCCTACCTCGTAGATGCAGAGCAGTACAGTGATGAGCAACATGCGCTCAGCATCCTCCTCATACGAGACACAGCAATGGGCGATTCGCAGCTTCATCTTATGTAGAACCCTCCCATAATGACTGAGGGCTTCCTTTTTGATCTCTCGGTCGCCTAAAGTGTGCGCTAGGTGTACGGCCCCAATAGCCAGAACGGCGTCCATGACCATCTCATCGGCATGTGCGACGGGAATCACATCCCATATGAAAGGATTCTTAAATTGGGGACAGGACGATTTGCCTGTCAAGTGTCGACATGACTCCCTTATGTAGTAATTGAGGATCCGCTGCTTCGAGCACGGTGGAAGAGGGTGCGGCAGCCCTGTTAGAAGGGGAGGAGACAATACACGACGTCCTGGCGAGGGCCTCATGAATTTATTGTCGTGCTCCTCGTCGACAGAGACATAAGCCACATGGTAGCCCTGCTGAAGCTTTTTCCGCCACGAGAACTCGGAATTCTTGAGCCAGCAGCAGGCCAAGCCCATAATTTCACATTTCTTACAGCTCGGCTTCTGCTCGTCGCATTTCTTGCGCCGCATACGGCAGCAAAGACATCCTGACTTTGTGCGTTGCTTCCTCGGGCGAAGGATAGTCGATGACATGATCGCGTTTGGGTTGAAGAATTCAGTTGAAGGGCGCTCCGGGAGAGAAATATGGGAAACGAGTCGTGGCGCCGGGCTGGAGCAACCGTTGACCAGGAAGTGTGTTACCCCGCCACTTCTCCAGTCGTGGAAAAACGGAGAATGGGCAAAATTATGTGGAGATGCGCTCTGATCATCCGAGAGGCCGATTGGAAGAGCATTTGGACATTCCTCGAGGCTGGGCCAGAGAGACTTTAGGGGGCACTGGGGCGTAACGAGAAAAGGGAAATCCCATTTAAAAAACTTTACATAATAGGATGCACGCAGGGGCGTTTAGATATGATGAAGGATCTCACGCTGATTGGTGGCACTTCTTATCAAGGTTGTACAATGACCAGTCTCGGGGATCTCCGGACCCGTTTCGGCTGGCCTAGAGGAAATGATAGATCTCGTGTTCCTCATGTTCCTCGTCTGGTTTCTCGTGCGGACTACCGGCCCCTTGACAAATGAGGAAAGTCGTTTGGGTATCGGTGGAGCCGCCCCTATCCTCGCGCCTTCGTTGTGGAGCAGCGTGAAACGGGTTATGACCCTGCTGACCCTTCGGATTACTGGCCCCCCGAGTCTTCCTTAAGCTCTAAACTACACCTAGCGACGGGACCGAGTGGTGCCTGGACCATGATTTAGACCAATGTCTGCGCATTCTTCGACAGTGGTTGAGTGTTTGCCCAGGTCCGGCGATGTGCTCTATCTTGTGGTTGCTCATTCGGAACGGGCCCATATCTTTTGTCTGACTCCCCCGTAAGATGGGCGCATCAGACCAGATAAGTCGCAGGAGCTGCACATTTTCATGCAATTCTCGGCAGTGGTGATAAAAGGGAACGGGACGTGACGATCGTGAAGCATTAATACCATCTACCCAACACGCTGTAGCTCCAGGTTCCGGGCATAAATTCGAAGTTGTAGCGCTCTTGTACGTCTTCTGTCCCTTAGGAGAGCTGATTTTATATATGCTCACCTCCTATATCCCTCTCCGATAGGCTTGTAACGCACTTCCAGGCCATACAACTTGCCCTCATCCTCCCACGCCTTGATCGTATCAATGTAGTCCAGAAGACCTGACATCCAACCCGCTCGTTTCGCCCCGTGGAGTCGTTCTTCGTCCGTCTTTTCCTGGCCGGCCTTGCCTTCACCAGTGATGTAGCTGGGTGTACACCCAATGAGTCCAGCCGCACCATGCGCCTGCTTGACAACACGCATGGTCCAGTCAGCTTCGCCGGCGTCGGTAGGCTCGACGACGATTTTCTGGCCCTGCCTCGCGCCCTTGCTGGCCTGCGTGATAATCTTGGCAATGTGCATGGCGTACACGTCCATCGTATGCACAACATTGACCGTGGTACCTCCCTGCGACCCACCGGCCGACAAGAACATGTTGGGGAAATTGCGTGTGAGCAGTCCGTGTAGCGTGGCCAATGACTTGGTCCACTTCTCGTCCAGAGACACGCCATCGCGTCCTTTGACTTCGATGCCGGCGCGATACGCAGGGCTGCCGGCGCCCCATGGCTCATAGCCGGTCGCGAAGATCAGCACGTCCACCTCGTACTCTTTGTCGCGTACACAAATCCCGGACGGGGTCATTCGATCAACGCCCTTGCCCGCGGTGTCGACGAGGTGGACGTGGGGCTGGTTGAAGGTTGGCAGATATTCATCGTGGAAGCAGGGTCTCTTGCACCAGCCAGGATACCACGGCTTCAGAGCCTCGGCCGTTGCCTTGTCCTTGACCAGGTCGTCAACCTGGGTGCGAATGGCGTCCTGACGAGGAAAATCCAGGGTGTGAAGCGATTGCACGTACTGAGCCGTCTTCTCCGGGGGGATGTCCTTGATCCGCGGGCTTCCGACCAGTCCGCTGAAGCTGGGGAAGCTCGTCCAAGCGTCTTGCACCAGGTCCTTTTCGGGCGTGACAACCGGATTGACCAGAAAGGCCGCCATATTCTCTCGGTAGGCTCGCTGCCAGCCTGGGATTTTCTTTGTCTGCGCAAGATCTTGAGGATCTAAAGGCTTTTGCCCTCGCGTGTCCACCGCAGATGGGGTGCGCTGGAAGACGAAGAGCTCCTGTGCCCACTTGGCGAGCTCCGGCACAACCTGGATTGAGGTCGCTCCAGTCCCAACAATTCCGACCCTCTTGCCTTTGAGTTTCACCATGTTTGGGTCTGTTGATGATCCGCCCGTAATTGAGTAGTCCCATCGAGACGTATGGAATGTCTGGCCATTGTAAGACTCAACCCCAGGGAGGAGAGGCAACTTTGGGTGGACCAGAATGCCTCCGTTCAGGCAGAAAAAATCAGAGCGCAGCATAATATCACGCTCTTGGTTCGTGTCGAGATTGATTCTAATTGTCGTACGCCATTCGCCCTTCTCTTCGTCCCACTCGGTACTCTTCACAGACGCCTTGAAGAGAGCCCTGGTGTTTAGACCCCATTTATCAGCCACGAGGTTGGCATACTCGCGGAGTTCGTTTCCGTATGAGTATCTGTGCTTCGGCGTATAGCCAGTTTCCTCGAGCAAGGGCATGTAAAGGGTGCTTTGCACATCACACATCAGTCCAGGGTAACGATTCCAGTACCACGTGCCGCCAAAGCCACCGGCAGCATCAACGAGCAGCATGTCCTTCACATCGATGCTGGCCTCCATCAGCCGAACCGCGTAGGTGAGACCGCCATAGCCCGCTCCAAGAATGAGAACGCGAACGTGGTCACCATCCTCGATTGCAGCCTGGGAAGTGGGAGGGTCTTCCTTGATCCAGGGATTCTGAGCAAAGTGCGTGAACTTGGCGGATCGAGTGGTATCGACGAATTGAGTCGCTCCATCGGGACGAATTCTGCGGTCTCGTTCGGCGTCGTATTTGGCTTCCGCTTGGGCAAAGTTGTCGCTGCCTATGGATCCCATCTTGCTTCATCAAAGCGTTTGTACTCCAGTCTGGACAAATAAAAGACAACTTGCCTGCGAAAAAAGCCAAGTCTACCACTAGAGGCGTGTTCACGATCTACGCATCGTCCGCCAACAGTATTTAAGCACAGTCGGCATCAACACACGATCGGCGCTCGCGGGTCGAAGCGCGTAGTCAGTCTCCTCAATTCTCGGTCTGTGTACAGGAACAATCTTCTTAGGGCAAGGGGAAACCCTAAGGGACTCTCACCATTCGGCCTCAATGGCGCTTAGATTGCTCTCAATAATCCCCAAAGGGACTCCCTACTGGCGAATTGGGGTCCAAAGCTTATCTGCACCGTCTGAATATACCTGACTGGTATTCGCTCAGCGTTTAGATGCGGTGAAGCGGAAGCGGAATAATGGGACTACTGCTAGAGCGAGAATGACATAAATGCTAGCCCCACCAAGGAACGGCGTTCAATGTGGTCATAGATCCCGCAAGATCAACCCGATTGCCAAGACCGAAATTGTGTTGACGTAGAGTTCATTCAGTGAGATGATGTTAAGTCGTGACAATGGAGCCCACCGGCGCATAGAAATACCCTGGTCAGTTCGGAAAGTGATTCTGATGACATTAATGCCGACCAGACGGAGATCTGCGGACAAGGGCTTGCGAATTTTCCCTCGGCCCGTCCGCTTACCTGCCCTCCACAGAACTACATATTATCCCAAAATCCTTCCAGGATGCGTTGTCCAGCCTTCTATCGAACCCACAAGACCGAAAGGATCTATCAGACTCTACCCAACGGTGTCAGTGACCAATGTGAAGGGTCCAATGTTTAAATCTGTTACGACGTGTCGGGGGAGAAGGACGCCGTGATTGTTCCGACTTCGTCGCGACTATCGAGTTCACTTTTTCTTGTCTACTTCCCCACGCGCACGCGCATGCCACTGAACAGCTAGTTTCTTCCATATCATCATCGGAGCCCAGGGAGACACATGTCGTCGTGAGTTTTGATCGAGCTACCGTCACCTCGAAGAACGTTGGGATGTGGATCATCTTCTGGAGCTGGATCACTTTCTGTGTCCTTAATTTCATGATCGTCTTCATCCTCCACGATAGCCTGGAAAGGACGAGTGGTAGACGAGGATGCTGAATCGTTGCTTTCGTTGATACCAAAGCCGGCATGAATTTTCTCACGAGATTGTGCTCCGGTGTCAAACTCGTTCGATTGAAGAATCCGCTGATATCTGCGGTGGCCCAGTGTCAGGATCCACAATTGTAGTGTTGTCCTGCACGGGCTGTTCGTTATTTTCATCCGACTACTCTGAGGCATCTAGTGGATGATACTGGTATATCTTCATGGCGGCAGTGGTGACGAGGCTCGGACCACAGTTGCCAACGGATCTACGGCAGTATCGATACATGGTGAAGGAGACCAATCTGCTTCGCGGCAACTGACGCTCTCAGATAAGTTTGGCCCGGTATTCCATGCCCAGTGGTAGGCTAGGTAGTCCGTGCGGATGACCTCGCCAGGTCGCTGGAGAAAGACGTCAAAGTAGACACCCCAGTCTCGGAGCACCGACGGAGGAAGAATGAGATGTTCGTGGCGGACGAACTGACTGCGGGCTTGTGGCAGCTTCACGCTCCCAGCGAGATGTCCCTCCAATATGGAAGCTTGTCTGGGAGTAATGACAACCCAAAGTATTGCCTCGCCCACCCAAATAATTGTGACAGATTGAAGATCCACCTCTTCTTTGTGCAGAAACACGAAAGATTATCCGAAGTTGATCCGCACTTGACTCGAATGGACACCTGGAACGTGGTCTCGAGTGGCTAGAAGATGCCTTGTCGTGGACAGGGGAGGCTGTGGAAGTTCCAGAGCAGAGCGTCGGCGGGGATTCTGGGCGGTGCACGTTACATAATCAAGATGGGCAGGTTTGGAAGCCACATGCCTAGGTAAGGCATTTTCACAAGCCTCCACAAGGTCTGACTGGTCTGCAGAGTCCCCGGACGAGTGCAGCCTTGTCGCTGGCTCTTGAATGGGGCTATCTGCTATTGTCAGTTCCCTTGCTGCAAAATTTACCGAATGTCCCTTGATCACATGACCTTCTTGTTGCAGCTGTTTCCGATGTGCTTGTCCAAAGGACAATTGAGAGCAACTTGGCAGCGCATGGACAGCGGGCCCACTGATGGACATCATCTGGTGGCCTTTGCCCACGTGTGGCCATCGCGGCAAGCTGTCAAGACCTGATGATAACTTGAGCATCGTTGTCTCGTGTCAGTATATAGGGATCCTCACGGGACAGGAGCGACGTATGGTCAAAAGTGCATGAGCTTGAAGTTCTTCAAGGTGTGCGAGAGTTGCTCATGGAAGAAGAGATTAGTTGGAATATCGTGGAGGCAGCGTACATAAGCCTGGAACGAGTGATCAAGGTGACACATTTCATCATCAGTCCATTTCTGTGACTGGATAGGGGATCGATTGGAAGAGCATCGACGAAAGCCATCATTGCCGACCATAGTTTTCCTCAATAGGATGGAATATGTGTGGAGCACACCAGAGTGGTGTGCTTTGTCCGTAGCCGCTTACAGAGCCAGGCATATTTGTGGCTGCATAAGGAAAAGAATTCTTGCGTGCGAATGATCGTGAGAATCTTCCTTCCTTGCAAGGGCGCTGTGGGCGAAGACTTTGCTGATGGGTGCCATCGGAACATCTCAACACAATTCGACGACAGGAGCGGTGGACCGTTTCGTAAACTATGGTGAGATACCGACAGATTGATTGAAGGCGCCAGGGAGGAATTCTGTAGAATGTGTGAGCAGAAATGAGAATATTTTTCCGCCGCGAAGAATAACTTAGGGTCCCGTGAAATGTGTGGTCCGCTATAGATCATTCCAGACACTGCATTAAGGGCCCAAGATACGAGAACCTGTTGAAGATTTGGTCCAGATACCTTCCGATGTGGGAGATGACAAGGAGAAGGATTAGTCATTTCTTGGTCATCATTGTAAATACGTTCCAGCCTGCGGAATCTCCCTCTGAGAGCGTGTATATATATATGTGCAGCATGGGAGCCATGTTTGTGAAGATGGGAATAACGAATTAATGGAAAAACATCTCGAGCCTGAGCATAATCTCATATCCGTAACAGA